GGTTTTGACCAGGCGGGCTCGGGGTTTGACTTTTGTTGAGTTTTTAGAAATTGAATAAAAATCATAGCTTTATTAATTGAAATTGCTTTCTCTTTCATTGTGTGGTGTATTCAAGTCGTCATTGGCTAGATTGAGTCGAGCGGAGGCGAATTCGTAGAGGAAAAGGCTAAATTGAGTGTTGGATTAGCCAAATTGAGGTTAGTGTTTTGCCTAGCTTTGTTGAGGGAATTTTTCCTCCTAATTGTCATTGTTTGCTACATGCGAGGGTGATACATATATGAGGTGACAAACGTATATGTATTTGCCAGTGTTAATCATGCTCGGGGGGTGAATTATGTTATACTTGTGTTTGTGGAGTTTTATGACATTCTGCTTAAATGCCTTGTTTGACTCTTAGATACTAAGGACATAATATTAAATGATGGATATCAAGACATAGTTTGTTATAACTTGATCAAACTTGATGGGAATTGTAATAATACATTGATGTGTCTAATTCGGTTATCTTTATGCGAAATCATTACTACAATACTATAACCGATATTCTTGAGATGCTAGACTCTATACTTGTGTTGTGAATCAATTATGAGATTCGTGAAAATATTTGAATAATACGATTCTTGAGGGTTGTTGAACCATTGTTGACTTGGAAAGTTGTGATTGGAAATTGTCTTGAATATCAATTAAAACACTCTCCTTGATGTCCGTTATGCTTCCTGCCTTGTTTGTTACAGTTATATATATGCTTGGTAAGGAAGAGTGTAAAGTACGAAGGGTGATGCCGTGTAATATTATTGAGAGTAAAAGCACGAAGAATGATGTCGTGCCATATTATTGAGAGTAAATGCACGAAGGGTGATGGCATGCCATATTATTGAGAGTAAAAGCACGAAGGGTGATGCCGTGCCACGTTATTGAGAGTAAAAACACGAAGGGTGATGCCGTGCCATATCATTTGAGAGTAAAAGCATGAAGGGTGATGCCGTGTCATTTCATTTGTACTGTTATGCTTGTATGTTATGGCGAGGTCATGGCACAAAGGGTGTTTTCGTGCAGGTGAGAACGAGGGACATGCATTCTGATGTGATATTTGTTTTTCCCGTGTATACGATTGTGCCCTTACTTTGAAATGTTATTGTTGTATTTACATATTTGGTGTGACTTGTTGTTATTGTCCTGTACTTGACTTTATCTCAATTGTTGTCGCACTGTTCATGTCCTTTACTTAACTTGAAATTTCCATGTCTAATCCTGTTTTTATAATTATGCTCATGTTGTATCTATTTTGTAGCACCTTAGTATAAGCCTTCCACCATGCTAGCCTTTCATGCCTTTACTTGTTAACTTGTAAAGAACACGTGTTATCTTCCTAATTGTTATATTTGTACTTAGGCCTCCAATATGCTAGTTAATTGAAGTTGATATTCACTGTTTTCCAATTGTTGTTGTTACTCACGTACTTTCCGCTTAGTCCATTACTGTGATCCCCATGTATTTCATTGTCTACTGTTGTTACGGGCGTATTTCCTACTTAGTAATTCCTATTATTGTGTTCCTGTGATATGGTTGGTACTGTTATACTATTACTTGGAAAGGATGAGTTGAACGCACGAAGGGTGTTGCCGTGCTAATTGAACCGTTTCACAAATTTATTTATATATGGTGAGGATGAGATAAAAACACGAAGGGTGTTACCGTGCCATATGATTTGATATTTTGACATTTTAGACGTATATCTCATACCAGGGAAGATCGTAGATATTCTGCTGTGGTTCGTTACAATATTCATTGTCTGACTCGCCGGGTGGTATTTGATACTTATATCCGTTATACTTTGAACTGCTTTACTGTTAATCTAATGTACAGGTTTTTTAAATAAGCATCTTTTAAACTAAAAGCCTCGTCACTACTTTGACGAGGTTAGACAAAATACTTATCAGTATATGGGGTCCGTTGTACTGATACTGCACTTCTGTACGTCCCGTGCAGATTTTGGAGCAGAGTTGCTGGTGACGTCGGGTGCTGATTCGGAAGATGTTCGTGCGTTTGGATATATATGCCACTTGTTCTTGGTAGTTTAGGTTTTGCTAATCTGTTATGTAACCTTCAAACAGAACGTGTATTTATTTGTATCAATTTTAAAAATTCCAAATCTTAGAAGCATGTGATTCGTACTACCTGGTCTTGGTAGATTTATAAATGTTCAGTTATCTATTTTTTATTCTTTTATAATATCAGTTGAGTTGTATTTTCAGTTAGTTGACTTACCTAGCTGGTTGTTAGGTGCCATCATGACTTATGTTTTTTTTTAGGTCGTGACAAACTTAAACTATTGTTACAAAAGAGGACAGTAGTTAAAGAATGGCTAAAGAAGAATACAGTATTAAAAAATAAAGAAGCAAGACAGACACTATAAATCCAATGTCTATAAAACTTCCCCAATAAAAACCATCTTACCGCACCAATCCAACAATGTGTTGTAAGATTTATAAAAGTGACAAAAATATAAAGTTGTTTAGAAAAATTTGATGTATTAGAAAAAAGTCTGTTGATAACGTGTATCTCATACTTTGGGTCTTTACAGATGATTTAGCAGTTGACCAAGGAAAGAGTCATTATGAGAAAATAAGGATTTCAAAAGTTAAAAGGGGTCACGAATTTTTTATGTAGTAGAAATATTTACGCTCCCGTTTAGCCGTAAAATTTGGGAGCTTTTTTCAAATTTGTTTGTTTATAGATTTTAATTATTTTTTGGTAGATTTTGAAAACAAAATTTTTAAATCCCAAAAACAACTCTAGAGTAGTTTTTGAAATTTTTTGCTCATGTAACTTCAAATTTTTTTCTAGTAAAATGCATGTCCAAACACTATTTCAACTTTCAAAAATTATTTTTCATTTAGTCTTAAGAAACTTATTTTTTATAAATTTCAACTAAATTTATATCCGAAAGCTACGGTTAGTGAGCTCTTACGAAACCTTGATTTGGATTCCTACAATTTGTACTTTTCCAAAAGAATAAAAAAACTATCTAATGTCCCTTGCCTTAATTTTTTATTTTCTTTCTTTTGATGTTTTTTTACTTACGTGAAGACTGTTAAAGCAGTTTGGATACTTTTTACACCGTTCAATTGTTGCGCAATCAAATACTACTAATTATCCTTAAAGAGCACGTCCATTGAGAAAATCATTTAATACTATTAAACATATGGGTCATTTGACTAGTTTACCCTTTATCGCTCCTCAATTTACCTTTATCCCTCCTTAGGGTCTCATGTATAAATCACTTATTGGTGTAAGGGTAGATTGAAGAGGAAAAAAAATACTATTTGATTTCCTAAAGTGACATTTGTTTTGGATCAAATTACTTTGGCTGAAATGGCACCTATTTTGAACCAAGAGAGCATACGACTTTTCTCACTCCTTAAAATGTCAAACACCCTCGCGAAAATTCTATATATAGGCCAATGGATTCAAGTCGTAAAACTCATTCATCTCATACAACGGAAAATGAATAGCATCAAATACCATCTGAAATACAAGATCAAAACAAATAAGAAAGAAAAAAGATATTTCAGTGTTCTCAAAGACAAGAGAAATTAAGGAATAAATCTTATTTTCCTTCTCACCTTTCTTACAAAATAACACGAACATCGATCCTATTGATAATGGCATTGGTCGTAAGTGATGAGGGTGTCTTCCTAGATTAGTCACCACAAAGTAAGGCCTATAAAGTGTATAACAAAAGAAAAAAATGTGTTGAAGAATGCATTCATGTAATCTTTGATGAATCCAACCTTTTGGTTGAGAAAGGTACATGGGGTGTTGATAATAGTAAATTTGGCCTAGCTGGAATACATGAGGAGGAAACAAACCATGATGTACCAGAAGCTGCTGCAGAACAGGAACCAGGTCCGTTGGAAACGTTTAGAAGGTATCACATATAGGGGGAACAACAAAAGAGAATCAAGGTGAAATTGCAGCACCTGCTACCTCTGTTGAACATGAGGAGAACACTGAGATCCAAGATCCCATGCTAGGGGATGGAAACATCAAAGCTCCTATCCTCTAACAAATGCGCTTACCCGGTTGATTCTGGAAAGGTAACAAGATCAAAGTTTAGGAGCATGATTTCCTCAGTATACATATCCATGGTAGAGCCCAGAAAAATAAAAGAAGCTCTTGGAGATACATACTGGACAGTGGCCGTGCAAGAAGAATTAAACCAGCTTGAGAGAAATAAAGTCTGGCACCTGGTTCCCAGCCCTAAGGACAGAACAATTATTGGAACTAGATGTGTGTTCAAGAACAAACCGGATGATCAAGGGAACATTAGTAGAAATAAAGCTAGGCCGGTTGTACTGGGGAACAATCAAGAAGAAGGAATTGACTACAATAAAATATTTGCTCCTGTGGCCTGGATGGAAGCAATGCGAATGCTCGTTGCATTTTTTATCCTACATGGGTTTCAAGCTATATCAAATGTCTGTCAAGAGTGCTTTCTTGAATGGATACTTGAAGGAAGAAGTGTTTATTCGACAATGTCCAGGCTTTGAAAATCATGAGTTTCTAGACTATGTGGATAAGTTGGACAAGGCACTGTATGGGTTGAAGCAGACTCCAAGAGCATGTGTGAAAGAATGCAAAAGTTCTCCTAGAAAACGGGTTCTCATGAGGCAAACTTGATAACACATTGTTCCTGTTAAAGAGTTGTACGAACCTACTAATAGTACAAATATATGATGATAACATCATCTTTGGAGCCACAAGTGAATCTCTTTGCAATTAATTTGCTGAAATATGGGAAGTGAAATTTCTTCCTTGCACTCCAAGTTAACCAGACAGATAAAGGAACTATGATACACTAACAGAAGTACATCAAGGAGTTGCTCAAACAATTTGATATGGACAATGCTAAAACAATTGACACTTCTATTGCTACAGCAACCAGGTTGGATGTGGATGAATCTCGCACTCCTGTTGAGGAAAAGAAGTACTGAGGTATGATAGGTTCTCTACTCTACTTGAAAGCAAGCAGACCTGATATTGTGTACAGTGTGGAGCTATACGAAAGGTTCCAATCTAGTCCTAAAGAATCACATTTGAAGGCCGTCAAAAGAATTTTAAGATATCTCAAGGGGACTCAAGACCTGGTTCTTTGGTACCCAACTGGAGACTCGTTCGAAGTGGTTGGTTATGCATGTTCTGAATATGCTGGATACCTGGCGGACAAGAAAAGTACGTATGGAATGGCCCACTTTCTAGGATCATGCCTACTTTCATGGGCATCGAAGAAACAAAATTCTGTAGCCTTATCAACTGCTGAGGCTGAGTATGTGGTTGTTGCATCATGTTGTGCTCAGTTGTTATGAATCAAACAATAACCAGAAGATTATGCAATGATGATTGAAAAGGTGCCCATATTTTGTGATAATACAAGTGCAATGAACATAGCTAAGAACCCGATACATCATAAGAGAACCAAATACATTGATGTGAGGCATCACTTCTTGAGAGACAATGTTGAAAAAGGGCATATAATTATGAAACTTTATAAAACTGAAGATCAAATTGCTGATATATTCACCAAAGCTTTGAGTAGGGATCACTTTGAAATGAGCCGTTTGGATCTTGGCTTAATCAAAATGGACTGACATGCTCTTGACTTCCCTCAATTACTGGCTATGAATAAATAATGTGTTTAGTAAGTAAATATGTTGAAAAAAATGTCTAACTCAGTCGTATACTGTAACAAGTATGCACACATCGCATGGACTCTAGGGCATAGATGTGTAATCTGATGACAGTAGTCTGGACTAGAAAATGTGTCACAGCCAACATTGAGGAAACAAGTCAAAGAACCGGGTCAATCGACATCCAGGTATGTACCCCCCCTCCCTTTTCCAATTTATTGTTGTGTCCAATCGTTAGAGTGTCATGTCATTAAACCAGGTTCCTACTATTGTGTCAATTAGTCTCTAAAATCCATAAAATAAATTAGTGGATCAGATTCCAAAACCGTCAAAATCATAGGGTAATCATGATTAGATCCAGTCCACGTGCAATCAGGACCAGTTTCCTAAACCACGTGCACACGTCCCTGCCGCTAAATTAACTCACTTAACCTCCACTTTTCAAAATCTAAATATTTGACGGTTAGCCCTTTTTCCCAATTAGAGTCGAATTAGGATCAATTAATAGGAAAAATTAAAGCTACCGAACAGTTAATCACTCCATATATATTCCTCTCCTCTTTTCATTGTTCCCATTATGATCAAAATCCCCAAAAGTTTGACACAAAATTCTGAAACCTTAACCTCTTCTTCCTGAGTAAACCAAAAATAATTCTTCACTGTCATGGAAACTTCACCAAGAAAAGTCCCATTGGAAACCATTGGTTTCGCAAACACTCACACCACGGCACCCAAACTCACACACACACAATTCCAACCGAGCCAAGAACCATCCTCCCCACTAAGACCTAAAACTCATCACTAGTTAGTCGACTACTCTGACGAAGATGATAGTGAAGGATCTGAAAGTGAGAAACAAGTTGTGGAAGAGGCACGAATTGAGGGGGGAAGCGATAGCTGATAATGTGGAGGAGGCTGGTGAAGCTGATACAGTCACTACTGAAAAAATAGGTATTGTGGAAGGGGATGAACATCAAAGTGGGGTGGTTGTAAAGAGTGAGGTGAATGCAGTAAAAGAGGGAAAAAATCTTGTTGAGGGATTTAGTAGGGGACACAGGAGGAAGAGGTACGAGAATCGGGATACTATAGGCACCATAGTAGAAGTACCAGAAGCACCTGGACAACAACCGGGTTCTTCTGCCGCTGGTGAGGGAGAGCTTACTATGGAAGTCGTTACTGAACAAGAAAATACTCAGGTTCAAGAACCGGGTTCTTTAAATGACGAACCTGAAAAAAATGAGTCCCTTGATTTGACTAATAGAAGAAGAAGAGGAAAATAAGGGAGAAGCAGAAGTTGCAAAGGAAGATAGTGAAGAGAGTGATGACGAAGCTCTACGCCCCGAACCATGCTGAGCGTAACATGACACCCGGTGCCTGATTGCTTGTGACTGAGCGAACAACCTGGATGGCTGGATCAACATGTGGTATGAATATAAGCTGAATGTACATACAACATGCCTATCTACTAAAGAGTCTGAGTGAAATATCATAAATGCATAAAGTACTGAAAAGTCTGCAAGTACAAATGAGTAGCCGACATGGCTAGCACATAAAAGCCCGCTAACATCTGACTGACTGGACTTTTAGTTTACGATGCCTCTAAAGAATCCTGAAATGCTAACTGTTTGCCAGGACAAGGTCCTTGACATACTTTACTAATTGAAATACTATAAAATACTGGGGAAAAAGGAGGGACAATGCCCTGAAAGACAATGGCTCACCAATGACTGATACGAGATGTCCTAGCATGCAAAATCGCCAACCTATACATTTGATACCTGCATCGCGAGATGCAGGCCCGGACCAAAAGGGATGTTAGTACATTTTAGTTGCACTGGTATGTAAAACAACTGAAAGTAAGAACTATTAATGCTGAAGCTGAGACTAAACTGATAATTGATAACCGATAGTTGATAAATGATAAATGAACTGATAACTGATAAAATGAACTAAAAAAGGAAGTAAGGATATGAATATTCCCTCTTCTAAATGATGAACCCCCTGTTTATATGAATAAATAAATTGTGGCATCGGGCCTAATATACATGTGCACAAACTGCAGCCTTGGGCCCAAGTAACGTATACATAACTGCGGCCTCAGACCCAAAAATGCATAAAGCATAAACTGAGGCCTCAGACCCAAAGATGCATAAAGCAAAAACAGCAACCTGAGGCCCAAATACAGGTGGTCAACATTAAGGATTTAAAATCAGTAACTGAGAATCATACTACAATACAGGATACTGAAATACTAAATCATACTGGGTTACGTGATACTGGAATGCTGAAAAGGACTCGACTGGACATATATTCATAGTAAAATGATCTGTCACAACTGAGACTCAGGGGATATTGAACAAATTATAAAACCACGTCATCAAAAAAATAGAAGTTCTAAAACTATTCATGGAAGTAAGGTGTAATTACTTTATGAGGAAATTCGTAATAGTCATAAGAATGAGATGTAGGGAAAATCATAAAGATTCTCAAACGCAGAGAGTTAGCCTTACATACCTTAACACATGCCTTTTTAAGCGTATCACAATGTCTATCTCCTCTTTCAGCGATAATCTATGGCAATATATATAAGGATGAACCAATATTAGCACTAAAGCTCATGTTTTGGTAACTTAAGAATTTTATCAAACACCTTATGGGTGTAAAGCCTCATAACCCTCCTTTATGGAGTTTCTACACCCAACAACCTATTCTCTTGCTCATAGATAAATTCTAAAATATCAAATTGTTATAATCAATATCATTCTTCAACACCATAAGATAAATAACACCCTTAACCAATAATCAACAATCAACAATCCAAACTTGTAACCATTCATGATTTTCTGTCAAACCCATCAACTCATATCTCATGAACTAGAGTTTATTATCATTAATCCAACACTCTAATAAATAAGAGGGTGAAGATATTACCTTTTTTACGTTCAATTCTCTTAAATTCGAGTTCTAGAGTTTCTGTTTTCAACAATGATGTCCCAATAAAATAATTAATGATTTAAAGGGTTTACCCATGTTAATAAGGTACTGGAGAATTGAAATTAACTTAAAATTACCATTAGAACTTTCCTTGGATGGTTGAGAGACCTTAGAGGAAGTTAGGTTCTTGAGAGCTTTCCTTTCTAGACCAAGTTTTACTGTTTTGGGGTGTGGCGGACAATGAAGGGCTTTTAAAATGACCCCAAGAGCGCTCTCACGCAGCTGAAGGAAAAAACGTGCAGCAAGAGCAGTAGCACTGCCACAAGTGCGTTGTCGCGCACGAGACTAGTAGGACGTGCACCTGGGCGAGCGTATTGTGCATTATTCATAAAACATACATAACATTTTACATAGAGATTTGTTCGGGCTCCACAGTATATCTTTAGAAATTTATTTCAAAGGGCCACAACTTTCATGTTTTACATTTTTGCAAATTGCTTATTGATTTTGACGAAATCGGTCTGGAAAATAGACATTTTTATCGAATCTTATGCACCTCACTCTACATCTTGATTCCAAACCATTATTTTCACCCATACTCATTCCGATAGTACTTCACATGTCTAGAATTTCATATTAATATTCATTTAACACGTTCACACCTAATTCAAATTTATGAAGTATTATGTTATCTCCACCAATGGGATCATTCGTCCTGGAAAGATTGTCCTAATTGTAACTACGACTAACTCTGGATCTTATACGGGTCTGATGGAAACATGTGAACACTGAACTATCATGGACACATACATACTAAACTGAATGAATGCAGGATTACTGAACTGGATTGCTGAAACACTAAATTGAATTACTACTGAATTGACTGAATAATGAAAGACATGGAGATTATAATATAAGGTCTAAATGGAAAGGTTAATTGTCTTCTACATCTTACGTTTTTTCTTCAAAGAGATGGGGATATCTTGACTTTATGTCCTCTTCGGCTTCTCACATAGCCTCTTGCACCTTTTGATTCCTCCAATGAACTTTTATCGAAGCAATTTCCTTAGTTCTAAGCTTGCGGATTTGACGATCAAGAATAGCCACTGGAATTTCTTTGTAACTCATGCTATCTTTACCCTCTATAATCTTTGTAGGAACCACATGAGATGGGTCTCCCATGAATTTTTCAACATAGACACATGAAACACTAGTTGCACAACAGATAATTCTTGTGGCAATTCTAACTCATAAGCCACCTGCCCGATCCTTTGCAAGATTCTATATGGCTCAATATGGAAAAATCTTCCCCTTCTTCCCAAATCTCATAACGCCTTTCATAGAAAAAACTTTTAGAAACACCCAATCATCAACGTGGAACTCTAAGTCTCTCTATGCCGCACATCCAAATAGGTCTTTTAGCAACTCTGAGTCGTCTTCAAATGCTCTTGAATTAACTTGACTTTCCCTATAGCCTGATAGACCAAATCGAGTCTTAATAACTCCTCTTTGCCAACTTCAAACAACCTATTGGTGATCTACACCTTCGCCCATATATAGCTTCGTACCATGCGATCTTAAAACTAGAGTGGTAACTGTTATTATGAGCAAATTCAATGAGGGGTAGATGATTATCTCAATTACCTTTAAAATTGATAACATACTCTCTCAACATATCCTCAAGAGTTTGTATGGTACGCTCTGCTTGGCCATCTATCCGAGGATGAAAAGTTGTGTTGAGGTTC